CTAATTAGCTTGGGTACCAACAGCAGTGAAGCTGCAGCTTCATGGACTTGAGAACTAGCTAGCTGCCCTAGGGTACGTCTAGACTGAAGCCTTTTTTCAGAAGAAGCTTTTCCAGAAGAGATCTTCCGAAAAAACTTCTTCCAAAAGAGAGCATCCACACTGCCAAACCACATCGAAAAAGCGATCTGCTTTTTTCGAAAGATAGCGTCCACACTAAATGGATGCTATCTCGCATTTCAGCTGTGATTACGATGGATGGAATGGCCACCAATGCACCTGTACTTTTTCCTCTTTCCTCTTCTTTCAAAAGAACTCCTTCTTTCTAGTCCACACACACCTTTTTCCGAAAGAGCTCTTTCGGAAAAGATATTCTTCCTCATAGAATGAGGTACACCAATGTCGGAAAAAACCCTCTGTTCTTTTGATTTTCTTTCAGATTGAAGTGTCATTAGAGGAGGTTTTGGAACAAATTGAAAAACTTAATAGTAACAAATCACCGGGACCGGATGGCATTAACCCAAGGGTTCTGAAAGAACTCAAATGTGAAATTGCAGAACTATTAACTGTGGTTTGTAACCTAGCCTTTAAATCAGCTTCTATATCCAAGGACTGGAAGACAGCTAACACAATGTCAATATTTAAAAAGGGCTCTAGAGGCGACCCTGGCAATTACAGACAGGTAAGTCTTACATCAGTACCGGGCAAATTAGGTAAAACAATATTAAAGACTAAAATTGTCAGACACATAGAAGAACATAATTTGTTGAGCAAAAGTCAACATGATTTCTGTAAAGGGAAATCTTGTCTTACTAATCTATTAGAGTTCTTTGAAGGGGTTAACAAACATGCAGACAAGGGAGATTCAGTCGATATAGTATACTTAGATTTCCAGAAAGCCTTTGACAAAGTCCCTCACCAAAGGCTCTTCTGTAAATTAGGTTGTCATGTGATAAGAGGGAAGATCCTTTCATAGATGGAGAACTGGTTAAAAGACAGGAAACAAAGGGTAGGAATAAATGGCAATTTTCAGAATGAAGAGGGATAACTAGTGATGTTCCTCAAGGGTCAGTCCTAGGACCAATCCTATTTAAGATAGTCAAGACCAAAACAGACTGTGAAGAACTTCAAAAAGATCTCACCAAACTGAATGATTGAGCAACAAAATGGCAAATGAAATTTAATGTGGATAAGCATAAAGAAATGCACATTGGAAAAAATAACCCCAACTATACATACAATATGATGGGGGCTGATTTGGCTACAACTAATCAGGAAAGAGATCTTGGCGTTATTGTGGATAGTTCTCTGAAAACATCCATGTAGTGTGAAGTAGCAGTCAAAAAAGCAAATAGGATGCTAGGAATTGTTAAAAAAGGGACAGAAAAAAAGATGAAGAACATGCCCTTTATAAAACTATGGTACGCCCACATCTTGAATACTGCATACAGATGTGGTCTCCTCACCTCATAAAAGGTATTTTGGCATTAGAAAAGGTTCAGAAAAGGGCAACTAAAATTATTATGGGGTTTGGAATAGGTCCCATATGAGGAAAAGCTAAAGAGACTGGAACTTTTCAGTTTAGAAAAGAGGAGACTGAGGAGGGATATGATAGAGGTATATAACATCATAAGTGGTGTGGAGAGGGTGAATAAAGAAAAGTTATTTACTTGTTCACATAATATAAGAACTAGAGGACACCAAATGAAATTAATGGGTAGCAGGTTTAAAATTAACAAAAGAAAGTTCTTCTTCACACAGTGCATAGTCAACCTGTGGAACTCCTTGCCAGAGGAGGCTGTGTAGGCTAGGACTATAACAGAGTTTTAAAAAGTTAGATAAATTCATGAAGGTTAGGTACATAAAAGGCTATTATCCAGGGAGGGTAAGGAATGGTGTCCGTGACCTCTGTTTGTCAAAGGCTGGAGATGGATGGCAGGAGACAAATCACTTGATCATTGTCTTTGGTCCACCACTTCTGGGGCAGCTGGCACTGGCCACCGTCGGCAGACAGGATACTGGGCTAGATGGACCTTTGGTCTGCCCCAGTATGGCCATTCTGATGTTCTCAACACAATAGCAGTGTGGACGTAAGTGAAGGTTTTTTTGGAAAAACAGCTGTTTTCCCCCAAAAAAACTGAAGTCTAGATGCACCCTAGTATGTTTCAGGCAGATCTGCACTGCCCATGATAAAGCTTATGTTACTGTTGCTTCCTCCCAATGAGCTAGCTAGATACTGCAGTTAGCATGTTGCATGTTACCGGAGCTTTCAATCCAGGCAGCAATATACACAGCTACATTTGTATTTTTGTCACCTATTCAGAATTCCTTTCATGCAGCTACATAACATCTTTATTTCTGTCTGCTATCCAGCATGGGTTGCATACTGTGAGCTCTTTGGGGCAGAGATGTTTTGATTTGTATTTGTGCAGCACATAGCATAATGCGATTCTGGCCTATGACTCTATGCATGCGACGCAGTGGGCATCAGCCCACAAAACTTACGCTGAAACAAATCTCTTAATCTTTAAGGTGCCACACAACTCCTTGTTGTTTTTGCAAAAACAGACTAACACAGCTACCCCTAGGAGACTGGTCTATGGCTGGGGCTCTTGGGTACTTACTTATATAAATTCTCCCCAATCTGAAAAAAAAAAAAGAAACAATCTTCTTGAAACCCATTTTAACAGGTGAGTAGCTCAGAGTTCATGGACAGATTTACATATCCAAAGTAAGCTGGAAGCTCAGAGAATTTAATTAGGACACCTTGGAGATTTTCAAAGGGTTCCTAATGACCTACGTATATTCAAGAATATGTAGGGCCTGATTCAAAGTTAATTGAATTAAGGAGGAGTCTTCAATGGACTTGGACTCAGGCCTATACTCTTTAGGACCATTTATCATATTGGCTACGTCTACACTGGCCCCTTCTTCGGAAGGGGCATGCTAATTTTGAACTTGGGAATAGGGAAATCCGCGGGGGATTTAAATATCCCCCGCGGGATTTAAATAAACATGGCCGCCGTTTTTTTTCCGGCTTGGGGAAAAGCTGGAAAAAAGCGTCTAGACTGGCGCGATCCTCCGGAATAAAGCCCTTTTCTGGAGGATCTCTTACTTGAAAGTAGGAATAAGAGATCCTCCGGAAAAGGGCTTTATTCCGGAGGATCGCGCCAGTCTAGACGCTTTTTTCCGGCTTTTCCCCAAGCCGGAAAAAAAGCGGCGGCCTTGTTTATTTAAATCCCGCGGGGGATATTTAAATCCCCCGTGGATTTCCCTATTCCCAAATTCAAAATTAGTATGCCCCTTCCGAAGAAGGGGCCAGTGTAGACGTAGCCATTGTGTTAAAGTGGCATCTCACCCAATATTACTGAATACTAAAGGACAATAGATAGCATTTATATTTGACTGGAAATCCTCAGTGGTGACATTCACTTCTTTAACTATTTTAAAGTCATTGCCATTTCCTTGCCTCCAACGAGAACTCTCTTAAAATGCAAAGAGACAAGTCACGTAGTTTTTTACCATGATGAAAATGTCACTAGTTATTTCTCCAGGTATCTCCATCTCACAGTTTAATACAGAACTTACTGTGTATATTAAAAGATTTGTTCTATCTAAAGTATTTTGTTCTCCATTTCTCCTGCTCCACCAAAACTGCCTATGTCAGGTTTCCAATTTTTTTTTTTTAAAGAATCCTTAGATAAGTGCTCTGGGGTTGGTTGAAGATTTTTAAACCATTAAGCAGTGATGAAGGGTTTTTCTAACATTTAAATCCTATGGGTAATTTTGCAGGTCAATGGGGGAGGGAGGCATTAGGAGAGAAGAAAAATTGTCCAAGCCTAGATTTGACCAAGCATTTTTTGGCATCAGATCCAGTACTTCACTTGTAGCCAGAGGTGGGGGAGGGGGAGGAGGGATTATGCAACACACTATAATACAAATGAACAAATAGAAATCAGATTAGGGCAGCTATATATTTATAACTAATAAGAAAAATACTCCTTAAAATAAATGTGTCAGGGTGGATATATCCCATTAAGACAACTTCTGTGCATATCAGAAAACTATGGGTCAAAACAGGAATGTATCATTTCAAAAAATACTGGAGCATTTTAAGAGTAGCTTTGTATATGACCTAATTTATATTTTTAAAAGGCAAAATTAATCCTACTAGCCTTATTTAGTTGTAACAGAAGAGTACTTCCTACTGGAATCCCTTTTCTTGGAATTTAGGTTATGATGATGATTGCTAGGAAAACATTGGTCTAATTCTGGTGGAATCAACATAAAACAAATTGTATTATTTAAAGATTAATGAAAACTTGGAAAATAAAGGGATGCTTTTTGGTGAAACACTGAAATTGTGATATTTAGGCAGCTCTAATTAGGATGAAAGGGAGACTACAAGGAAAGAAAATAAGCCTCATCAAATACATGTGAAGTCAATGGGAATCTTTCTATTCATTTCAGTGGCCTTTAGAGCAAGCCATATAAGAACACCCAAGGATAGGATTGGAAAACCTCACAGGGTTTTGATTCAGATAAGAACTAATAAGCTCAGAGGTATATCCCAACTTTGAGCTATCTACCTCTAACTCTCTCTCTCTGACTGACACTTTCTTTATCCAACAAGTTCCCAGTAGATCACAACCCCTTTCTTGCTTCTTGATAATTACACCCACAAATGTACATCCTGTTGTGTTTTATTGCTATATCTGATGCCTTGTGCTATCCCAGCTGAGACTAGATGCCAAGACCTTGCAACAAATTTGGTCTCAAGTCAGTACACACAGAAAAACACAGTAAGAACACAACAGACCTCGGTGTATTGCATCTGTGAGCTACTCACCCAAAATATAATAAATGTCCACAGTTTATGTATTATTTGGTTTTTCTGAAAATAAATGCTTAATTTTTGGACTGGTTTGCATATTGCTAATATGGATACATGGAAAACAAATGATTGAGGACATAAAACTTGAAAATGTAACTTACTCTGAGAAGCCAGATCTAATATTCCATGAGCTGTCCATCAGAAGAGTGATCTGCAAGGAGCTGATGAAAAACATTCCAGCCTTTCTTACTAGCAATGACAAAGAAAAGCAAAAGCCAATATATATATTAAGAGGCACAACTATGAAGACCAAGTATGTCTAAAACTTTTCCTTCCTTGTGCTACAAGCTAGTCAGTTTCCAGTTAGGAGCGCGCAACACAATTATGAGAATCTTATTGTACATGTAAATAAAAAAGTTATAACAGAGATTTAGAGCTTGAGTTCAAGTGTGGACAAGCAACCAACATTTGAGATACTTTTCTAAATCTTATTCAATCTTCTGGAAAATGCACCATGGGGCTGGAAATCTTATGAGAGAGACTCTCTCATGATAGCTCTGGCATCTTTGCTTCAAGTCCAACTGAAACCAGGATATACCAAGTAATGCAAAACTGAAAGGGATGAAAAAAATCTATAGGAATATTTCAGAACCTCAAATTCTGGCTGCCAAAGTTTAGGGTTCAACTGAACATGCTTTATTTTCCTGACCGTCGTTACCTGCTGCTAATGCTGCAGAAAGCCACTGAAAAAATACAAACTAACATTTGATTCTTTGCAGAAATCAGCTATGATACAAATTCCTTAATAATTAAAAAAGAAAAAGTTTCTCTCAAGGGGAGTCCATTGTGTTATAAGAAATTCTAGTGAAAAAAAAAAAAGAAACAAAATGTTCTGAAGCCAGCATCCAATACAAAAGCAAATGAGCATGAGCTTCCAGTAAATAGGCACTAGGCCTCAAAGAGGCTGAGATAGAATTTCTCTATACAGAAAGTACAGTAGTTATTCAAAACTTGCCAAGGGTACCAACAGAAACAATTACAATAGATGCCACAAACAGAAGCTGTTTAAGCCAGGAATCAGGGAAGCACTCAATGGGAAAGAATATTGTATGTGTAAAACTAGCAATTCCAAGCGACAAGGCATGGAAAAGTGCTTCCTTGCATTCACGAGTCCTGAAGTGTTCTTTGGTTCCTGTTAACAAGATAACTTTATTTTACATGTAAAGTTAACCTACATTTAAAAGCAGAAATAGATGTGATCTTTGTGTTTACAGCGGACCCAGGAAAAAAGCTTGTTACATAAAGCTGGAGAGCTTCAATTTTCTTATGCTGTTTGAAGCATGAAATGACTGAGGTTTGTTTCTTTGATTGTTCGGTCTCCACACAACCTGTGGTTCAGCGATGCAGTTGGGCTGCAAGGCTGGAAAGAGGAATCTTGCCAGTTTCCTTAACCTGTCAGAATTGTGGCTGTTCACTACTTGTTGACAAATATATTTAGCTAGGTTAAAAATATTCACTTATTATTGATGGGTGAAACTGCAACCTGATCACATGTGCTGACATGACAGCATGGCGTTCCAGTGACTTAAATTGGACTCCCCACATGTTAGGGGTCTCTGCCCATGGAAATCACATTGCAAGATCAAGGCCAAGCTTCAGAAAACATTCAAATATGCATCTTATGACCACCTAACAGTACATATAGGGAAGACATATACATGCTCACACAAACTTAAAAAATATCACCTTCCCAACCCCAGCCTTGTGAAAACAGGGCCAAATTTACCCCATTTAAACAGGGAAGTGCAAATCTGGAGTATTTTGTCCAATTCTCCCCCCTCCTTCCCCACCACTACATAAAGGATAATGAGAAGTCCTGTGGCACCTTATAGACTAACAGATTTATTGGAGCTTAAGATTTCATGGGCAAAGACCCACTTCGTCACATGCATCTATAATGGGCCACAGGACTTATCGTTGTTCTGCAGATTCAGACTAACACAGCTACCCCTCTGATACTTGTCTACGTAAAGGATGTAGACGCATGGGAGATCATCCAGGGGGCTGGAACACATGACCTGTGAGGAGAGGCTGAAGGGCCTGGGCTTGTTTAGTCTACAGAAGAGAAGAGTGAGGGGGGGATATGACAGCAGCCTTTTACTATCTGAAGGGAGGTTCCAAAGAGGATGGAGAGAGGCTGTTCTCAGTAGTGACAGATGGCAGAATGAGGAGCAATGGCCTCAAGTTGCATTGGGGGAGGTCAAGGTTGGATATTAGGAAAACCTATTTCACTAGGAGGGTGGTGAAGCACTGGAATGGGTTACCTAGGGAGGTGGTGGAATCTCCATCCCTAGAGGTGTTTAAGTCCTGGCTTGACAAAGCTCTGGCTGGGATATTTAATTGGGATTGGTCCTGCTTTGGGCAGGGGCTGGACTCAATGATCTCCTGAGGTCTCTTCTAGCCATATGATTCGATGAAATGACTGCAAACACCCACACAGACTCTAGGCGACTATGACTCTTCTGCCTGATTATTTTCTATCCCATTTCAATAGGCAAAACTGCTTATAGGGATGTAGGAAGCCTTGAGGTGTACTGTTGTTTGGTATCAGCAACCTACTGTAGTGAATTCAGTAAATGCTGATGAACTGTGCTAACGATAAATAGGAGGTCTATCTACTTCCCCACTCTGGGCTTCTACAGCACAAGCTCCACCATGCTGCCATAGAGCAAATAGAATAGGAAACCAGGAAGCATCAACTTGGAGACTTGTGTGATTGCTACAAATTATCCGAAGCTTTAAAAAAACAACAACCAGGAACAAAAACAAAACCCATTTGTCTCTGATTTGGCACGGAAGGTGGCTCTGAATTGATCAGTAGAGGCGCTCTCATTTCTGAATAATATTAATGATGAATTTGTTAATTTTCACATTGGTGGAACATGTGGACAAGGGGGATCCACTAGATATAGTGTACTTAGATTTCCAGAAAGCCTTTGACAAGGTCCCTCGCCAAAGACTCTTACGTAAATTGTTTTGGATAAGAGGGAAGATCCTTTCATGGACTGAGAACTGGTTAAAAGACAGGAAACAAAGGGTAGGAATAAATGGTAAATTTTCAGAATGGAGAGGGGTAATTAGTGGTGTTCCCCAAGGGTCAGTCCTAGGACCAATTCTATTCAACTTATTCATAAATGATCTGGAGAAAGGGGTAAACAGTGAGGTGGCAAAGTTTGCAGATGATACTAAACTGCTCAAGGTAGGTAAGACTGTGAAGAACTTCAAAAAGATCTCACCAAACTAAGTGATCGGGAAACAAAATGGCAAAAGAAATGTAATATGGATAAATGTAAAGTAACACACATTGGAAAAAATAACTCCAACTATACATACAATATGATGGGGGCTAATTTAGCTACCGCTAATCAGGAAAGAGATCTTGGAGTCATCATGGATAGTTCTGTGAAGACGTCCATGCAGTGTGCAGCGGCAGTCAAAAAAGCAAACAGGATGTTAGGAATTGTTAAAAACGGGATAGAGAATAAGACGGAGAATAACTTATTGCCCTTATATAAATCCATGGTACGCCTACATCTGGAATACTGCAGATTCCAGATGTGGTCTCCTCAACTCAAAAAAAGATATACTGACATTAGAAAAGGTTCAGAGTAGGGCAACTAAAATGATGAGGGGTTTGGAACGGGTCCCATATGAGGAGAGATTAAAGAGACTTGGACTTTTCAGCTTTCAAAAGAGGAGACTAAGGGGGGATATGATAGATGTCTATAAAATCATGAGTGGTAATATGATAGAGGTATATAAAATCATGAGTGGTGTAGAGAAATGAATAAGGAAAAGCTATTTGTTCCCATAATATAAGAGCTAGGGGCCACCAAATGAAACCAGTGGGCAGCAGGTTTAAAACAAATAAAAGGAAGTTCTTCTTCACACAGCGCATAATCAATCTGTGGAACTCCTTGCCTGAGGAGGTTGTGAAGGTTAGGACTACAACAGGGTTTAAAAGAGAACTAGATAAATTCAGGGAGGTTAAGTCCATTAATGGCTATTAGCTAGTATGGGTAAAGAATGGTGTCCCTAGCCTCTGTTTGTCAGAGGGTGGAGGTGGATGGCAGGAGAGAGATCACTTGATCGTTACCTGTTCGTTTCACTCCCTCTGGGACACCTGGCGTTGGCCGCTGTTGGCAGATAGGGTACTGGGTTAGATGGACCTTAGGTCTGACCCATTATGGCCGTTCTTATGTTCTTACAATATATCAATAATATAGGGATGGTGGTATAAAAAAATAGAACAAGCTACATTGTAAAAGATGAACTAAAGTGCTTTAGGTGCAAGCCAGTGCTGGACTGAATCTCATAGCACAAAGGAAAGCTGAAGGAACTCTCTCTATCTGCCTCTTTGAAGTCCCTAAAAGTATGACTACAGAGCAGCATTATTCCGAAATAATATAGTCTGTGTCTATAGTACAAGCAGTTATTTCAACATAATGTCAGAATAATGGTGAGCTGGAGGACTTTTTACTCCAACTCCTGTAACCCTCATTTTACAAGGAGTAACGGAAGTCAGAGGAAGTGTGCTCTCTCTCGGACTTCCTGCTGTGTAGACAGCACCAAAAACCAAAATAGGCTATTTCAACATAAGCTATGCAATTGACATAGCTCAAGCTGCGTAGCTTATTTCGGCTTTAGCCCTACTGTGTAGATGTGTCCTAATGTTCACAAGAAAGCAACATGCTTTCCCTTCCATTGCCAGTTCATACCTTTGTGAGAAGGGCAGGCAACAGCACCATTTACGCCTTGAATTAGGACAGATCAGCTTGAATGGTGGCACTGCATAGGAACAGCATGTCTATAAAAGCTGCCAAGGTGCCCTGCTATCCACGTAATGTTGAGCAACATGATGTGCAGTGAATACCTCCCCCCCCCCCAACCTCCCAGGGATTTGTACTCCAAATTGTTGGTAAACATTATAGACCTAAGTACCATAAACTGGAAACTTTATATATTAAAATGATTTTCTTTAAAGATTTTCCTTTAAATGTCCTAATAAAGCTAATCAAGTAGCATAGTCTATGGTTCCATGTTAGAAGACTTGACAGAAAAAAAACCTTGATTAAAAAAAAAAACCATGGGAAAGAATATTTGGATTTGCTTTGCAAGCAGTTCAGTTTTTCTATCGCAAACATAATGACTGGCCCTCAGGCTCACAGAGTTTGATTTGGAAAAACTTGGAGAAAAGATGATTGGTGGATCTGGGTGTGTTTCCACATTCTTACAGCATTTAACCTTTTTAAAGAAATAGATCAATGATTTTCAGTGGCTAATAGTGTGATATTAGTGGGCCAGAAATGCTCTTCATTATGCAATCAGAACAAAAATAGGTTATACACTACGGCTACGTCTACACTGGCCCCTTTTCCGGAAGGGGCATGTAAATTTCACTAGTCGTCGTAGGGAAATCCGCGGGGGATTTAAAAGTCGTCGTAGGGAAATGCGCGGGGGATTTAAATATCCCCCGCGGCATTTAAATAAAAATGTCCGCCGCTTTTTTCCGGCTTTTAAAAAAGCCGGAAAAGAGCGTCTAGACTGGCCCCGATCCTCCGGAAAAGGGCACTTTTTCCGGAGGATCGGGGCCAGTCTAGACGCTCTTTTCCGGCTTTTTTAAAAGCCGGAAAAAAGCGGCGGACATTTTTATTTAAATGCCGCGGGGGATATTTAAATCCCCCGCGGATTTCCCTACGACGACTAGTGAAATTTACATGCCCCTTCCGGAAAAGGGGCCAGTGTAGACGTAGCCTACATTAATAAACACCTCCCAAATGGAATATCTGGGAAGCTTGTGAACAAGATAATAGTCCAAGTCTAAAATACTTGTAATATTTAACATAGGTTTTAAAACATGAATTTTATTTTGCAATAAACTGGGGCCTTTTGCAAACCTGACAATGCTATTTGGACTTTTTGCATAAAAACCAGTGTGCAATAGTGCATGCAAAGAGGGGAAGAAATGCTTTTCCCTGCCTTTATTACTAATGTATTCCTGCTTTTCATATATAGGAGACAAATATGTTTGGTTTTTTTTTGCCTGTCATCACTGCAGAAATTTAGTTTGTGGATATATTTATTATCTCGTAATGCATATGTGCGTATGTGGAGTTGTGGGGAAGGATGTTGGATGAGGAGACATAAGAAGCATAACAAAGATGGCTAACGATGGAGAAATCGGTTTGTAAATCTCTGTCTACACGTGTGCTTCCCAAGTTTAGTCCATATAATGCTTGCACATGTACCCCATACATATATGGAGTGTCCAAATATGTTGCGCAAGGTATGGATATACACTGTGCACAGGTATATATTACGGCCATTGTACCCCTTTTCTGTATGTGACAGTAGTGTTACATTTTAGGCATCATCCCAAAGTTCTTTGGGACATTCTGGGAACTGCCTTGTTGCGAGTTGCCAGTACCGTACTCCAGAAGATGGGGTTTCCAAACAGTCATGGAATAATGACACAAGAAGGAGTATTTTCAGGGAGAATGGGGATATGTTTTAACTTACCAACCTTGGGTTCTGGTTCCTGCAGCAGCTCAAGGTCCTTTTCAGCCTCGTTAGTGAGAGCTTCCTTAAGTGGGTAGTGGTGCAGAATCACATGCTTCTCTTCCTCGGGACCTTCCGCTGAGGTTCCTCCTGCCTCCTCACCCTGCCACTCATTGGCATCCCGTCATACAATGAGGCTTGCACAAATCCCTCTGAAGTCTGCGGGAACCCTACACAGGTACAAGGACAGATTTGGGCCTTTGACATGCTACACATTAACAGACTGCATCAGAGTAGAGGCCTTCTAGTCCACTATCTTGCCTCTGACAATGGCTAGCATCAGATGTTTTGGAGGAAAGAGTAACAACCCCATAACAGGAAGATGTCCATAATGGGAGATAATCTGATCATGACAATTTGGTCCTAACCGAATCTCTGATAACTATTGTTAACACTGAAAATTCTATTATCCATAGAAATGTCCAATCCGTTTTTTGAATCTTGCTAAATTCTTGGCCTTAATGACTTCCCGTGGCAAAGAGTTCCACAGTCTACTTGCTGAATGACAATGGAACAAATGGAACACCAGGCAACCGTTACCTCATTGGAATACTCTTGTTGGCCAGACAAGCACTAAATGTAGGATTTTGTTATTTAGCCACTCGCGAGAGTTATGCTCTGGAAGAGGATGACTTCTCTGACTATAGTTTCTATTACCTGACATGAAAGATTTCTCTCTCTAAAGGAGGGCAAAAAGTCAGTCACATAGCAAGCATAAATATACAAGATTGAATGAAGTATCTTTAGCAGATGCAGGAACCACTAGCTTCCTTAATCTTTTCATAAACTCAAATCTTTTCCTTCTTAACTAAATTCCAATTTGCCTTCTCAGAGATGATGAGTTCCATACACAATAATTTTTATGATCTGTTCCCTTCCCACTTATCCACTATCAGATGATCTCTGTAGCCCTGTGTGCACTGACAGATCTCCTATATTGCCCAAAGAAAGAATTTTCCCAAAGTTCCTGAAAAACCACTTGGACATATGTATAACTTCTATCTGAGGGTATGTCTACACTGCCACCCTAGTTCGAACTAGGGTGGCTAATGTAGGCATTCGAAGTTGCAAATGAAGCCCGGGATTTAAATATCCCGGGCTTCATTTGCATCTTGCCAGGCGCTGCCATTTTTAAATCCCCGTTAGTGCGGACTCCGTGCCTGCGGCTACACGCGGCACGGAGTAGGTAGTTCGAATTAGGCTCTCTAATTCGAATTACTGGTACACCTCGTTCCACGAGGAGTAATGGTAGTTCGAATTAGAGAGCCTAATTCGAGAGCCTAATTTGAACTACCTACTCTGTGCCACGTGTAGCTGCGGGCACGGAGTCCGCACTAACGGGGATTTTGAAAATGGCGGCACCCGGCAAGATGCAAATGAAGCCCGGGATATTTAAATCCCGGGCTTCATTTGCAACTTCGAATGCCTACATTAGCCACCCTACTTTGAACTAGAGTGGCAGTGTAGACATACCCTAAGGGAGTAAAGCCTCAGGAATCAAAAGGCCCATCTGAGGAATGATTTTGTGCATGCTGAGACAAAGGAGATTGGAATTTGAAGATTAACACTCTGCACCAAATGTCAAACTGATATTATGTTATCACCAAGCCTGCTATCCACTGGACCTTAATACAGAAACAAGCACAAATGTTAATTGGCTACGTCTTACCTGTCGGAACTGTAGATACCCACAAACATTTAAATAAATTCTTACCTCCTCTCTCTCTCTCTTTCTCTGAGAATAACTTAGGACAATATGAAATGCTCTTAACTGGTTTGTTATTAGTATCTTGACATATGTAATCTGCCAAAAACAGACATAACTGGTTGTGTAACAGAATAAACTCCTGTACAATTAGCTCAATTTAAAAATGTTTTCTCCTAATGGGATTATGTTCTGTAAATGGTCTTGTTGCTATGGCAACTACCTCAAAACCTGCACCATGTTGTCAGTGCAATAACAACCACTGCACCTGTGTATCATAATTTCTTTCTGTGGTTTATGTTTTCATTTTTTTGATATATCAGTGTAGAAGTAAAGACAAGAAAAGTGACCTAGAAAAGATGAGGCATTGTTTCATCTACTTTTGCAGACAGCACCAAACTAGCACTTTTTCTATATTTATTTCTGTAATTAAAGATGTAATTGAGCAATTAAGTTATTTTGCAGAATGAGGTGGATTTGCCCTTAAATGTGCTCGCTTTAAAGAAAATATATTAAGCTAACTTATTGTTGCACAAGGCAACACATGGTTCAGAATAAGTGGAGAATGTGGTTTTGCTCTGAAATAGAGCCATATAAAATCTGTGCTTCAATAGATCTGTTCCTGGCATATAATTGCACCCTAAATTATCTCAGGGAGATGCGAAGAGGAACAGGCTGGGGTTGTTTCCCCACCTATGGAAAGGAGTGGGACACTAGTGCCTTCAAGGGACTTCCTTTTCTCCAATCTACCTAGTTAGGCAGTACCAGCAGGGGCTTGCTTTTGGGGTCCCTAGAACATTTTATGATTGGGTTTAAGGCAGCAACCTAATTAACTTCCCTCTTGAGGAGCATCACAGCTGAGATTAGTTTCCAGGACCAATCTAGAACACTGAAGACTATGGCAAGGAATCTTCCAAATCAACTCCCCCTCTTGTGTTACCTCCTGCCCAGTTCTCTTCTTACCCATGTCAATCCATCTATGAGGTGGAGTGCTCCCACCTAAATACCAGCTATCTTACTACCCCTATCAAAGGAGTAGTAGCTTTATCCTGAACTAACGTATTAAAAAGGAGCACAAACACAAAACACCAAACATTTATCTTTATGAGGAACAGTTCCAAAAATGGGAGAAAAGTTGTTAGCAGGCTTCAAAATATGAGCAGTTGAAAGGTTTTTAAATATCCTAAAGCAATCCTTACACTAGTTATTATATCCAGCTAGAAAGATATTCTAAACAATAACAATAACCCTCTCTTCTGCAGAGTGGTGGAACTTGGCTCTTTGGTTTGATAGGTCCAGAAGGGCTGTGTGCAGAGCACAGTGCTCCACCCACCTGTTTATTTCTTCACTTAGAGTTCCATATAAATTGTGACAGCAGTATCCAGGCACCTCCCCCTGCACGCATGTACACACACACACACACACACACACACACATCAATTTTCTTCTCTCTTTTTTTGTGCAAGCCCAAAATCTTCCCCTATGGCAGAGACCCTGCTTTGAAAGGTCACTAAAGCTGTTCCATGGTCAGATTTAGATTACAGAGAATTAAGATCCACCTCCCAAGCAGGTGAATATGCTTGCCTGGGGAATGATCCATTCACTCCCATGGAAAAAAGAGAAACGAGACAAAGAAAAACCCTCCTCTGAGCTAAGCATGCCCCTGCCTAGTGCAAGGTGGGGCTCCCATTGACCAGGCTAGCCAGGTCTTTGCTTCAGAGCTAGACTGGAAAAGCCCTCGTAGAACAGAGTGCAGTTACCCAGAAGATACCAGAGAACCCCAGCATTTGTTACCCACCTTCTCCCTGGAGCAGGGGCTACCAGACCTGCCCCCCCCCCAGCCAGGTGGTGCTAGTTATGGGTCCTCACAGGGCTGGTCCGAGGGCAGCATGGGAAATGTATGTGGGGGAGGCTACAGGAGTCCCACAGCTCAGCCCACTCCCAGCTACTCCACTCTCTCCTCTGCTGGCTCTGTGTGACTATTTCTCATTCCCTTACCAGGTGTCTCGAGAGCTATTGTTCATACTCCTCCATGTGGCCCTGCCCTGCTAGGTCTATCACCTCTTCATAATGGTCTGCTACTTGCCATAGTGACTGTCAGACGTGTTGCTGTGACTTCGAGCAGCTCACGTGTGGCCTCTCATGCTGCTTTTCTCCTCCTGGCTTTTGGCCACAGCTTCATCATTCCCAGAGTTACTCTCAGTGTCTCCTTCCCCAGCACATATGGCAATCATGAGTTCCTGAATAGCTGGTCTAAGGACAGCATGGGAGGTGTGTGGCAGGCAGTTGGGCCAATCACACTGGCTTAAGATACTGGGTATTTCCCACTGGGCCTGGTCTGGAGCTCTCTGATTGGACAGAGACCCAGTCAATCCCAGGATCCTGACTCCTCTTCGGCCTTTACCATTACCTCCTGGTATGGGGAGAGATCCAATCAAGCACCCACTCTTTTAGGAGGAGACCAATGGTCTTCTTAAATCAGCTTTGTTGGCTGCCATCATGAAAGTAAGGGTCTTCTTTCATATGGCTTGGATAGCTAGCAATGACTACAGATGAATAGCTAGGTCTGACAGCACATAGCTACAGCAGTGAGCTGGTGAGTATCCCTTGGCTACGTCTAAACTGCAGGCTTCTCTCAGAAGAAGCTTTTCTAGAAGAGATCTTCCAAAAGAGAGCATCCACACTGCCAAAGCCCATCAAAAAAGAGACCTGTTTTTTCGAAAGATAGCATCCACACTGAATGGATTCTATCTCACATTTCAGCTGTGATTACTATGGATGGGATAAGGGATCTTTCCGAAAAGGCTTTATTTTCCGAAAGATCCGCGTTTAGACTGGCGCTTTTTTCTGGCAAAGCTCCGTGCTGAAAAAAAGCGGCAGCCATTTTTATGCTAACGAAGCAGGGGATATTTAAATCCCTGTTTCATTAGCAATTGCGATACGTCTAATTTGCATCCCTTTTATGAAAAAAGGATGCAATCTAGACATAGCCATGGGGAATGAGGTAGCTAACTTTGGAGTTGCTTTATGGACCACACCCTGTGTGTCAAAATCAAGAATGAATATGAAACTTACTTTTGGATGAGATCCACCTGAACACAAGCATCAGGAGCTTCAGAGCAAAATACAAATCCACTTTGTCAACATAACCATCCCATGATGATGCTATCAAAAAGCAAAAAACAAAGTCCAGCCTCTGCTGACAGGCAGAAAGAGGAAGAGCAGTTCACTCTATAATGTTATGAGACACTCACATATTATGCTGACGGGTGCTAAAGAAGAACATAGACAAGAGTTGGCTTCCTCCATCAATTACCATTACTTCTGTTACTTAGAACTTAAGCCAGTGTGTGACTGGATGAAGTAGGATGCCTGCAGAGCACTGTCAACAGGAAAAAATGTGTCCTTTGCATTTGTTGAGAAGTAGACATAAAGTGTGTCATCTGCAAACTGCAACCACTGCAT